ACCATCAACTTTCCAACTTTCGCCAAAAGCCTCAAACCAACCTACAGACCTCCAAATTAATATACGCTCATACGCCTAAGTCCAAAAATACCATACGAAGCTATTGAAATCATTAAAATTGCATTCCGGAGTCGTTTACACAAAAGTCAAACCCGGCCAATTCTTCCAATTTAAATTTCTAACCTTGAGACAAAGTGTGCCAATTCACTCTGAAATATCACCGGAACCAAACCAACCACTCCGGCAAGTCACATAGCCACAAATGAACATAGAAGAAGCAATAAATAGGGGAATAGAGTTACAATATACAAAACGACCGGCCGGTCACTACAATTATCGACCCAAGNTTTTTTTTACGCAAATTTAATTATATATGTGGTATCAGTAATCCTAAATTTTTGTATATGTTCAATGCATTCAAACACAGTGACTAAAGATTCATAGTTATTAGACGTAAAAGGCACTCCCTCCGTGCCAATTTATGTAAACATATTTTTTTTTTTTGGTTCGTTGCAAAAAAAAAGAACTTTTTCTAAATTTGAAAACAATTTAGCTTAAACTTCCAAGTCTAGCCTTAATGAAAAGCTTTTATAATCACACAAATATTCTATGCCCCTTTCTGACATATTTGGTACCACAAATTTCAAAAATCTTTATTTTTTTTTTAAACTTCATACTCAGTCAAACAAATTCAATTAAATTAGAACGGAGGGAGTAGTTGCCATGATGTTAAATATAACTTAATTTCACTATTTGACAATATAATATTAGATATAGCCTTAATCATTTAACCAGGTTTCGTAGGCTAAATTGAATTTTTAATTCTTATAAGAATATTTTACTATATCCTTCGCTTGAAAAAGAAATAAGTACAACAACTGCTGTTGAGTGAAGAAATTAAATAGTAGGGATTTTCTTAACCTAATAGTGAAATTGGGCTACTTTACAGTACTATACGTAGAATTTTGAACAAAAAAGTTTGGTCAAACAAAATCATGAATACATTAAATTTTTAAAGTTTATGGGTTCCTATAACAATTTCGAGTTATTTATACAATAATAATTCAGTTAATAGTCAAATATTTATAAAAATTTAATGAATTTTTTAATTAAAATATAAAATTTTGGTAAAAGCAAGTACTAAATTGGGATTCCATAAGCTTAAAGCCGGATCCGCCCCTGACAGTAGACATATGAAATTGAACACGTCAGGTTTGTTTTGCCCCTTGTTTTTTCTTTTTCATTTTTAAGTTCATAGCTCTATTTAAATGTTACTTCATCCGTTTCATATTGTTTGAGGTAGTTTGACTCGGCACGGAGTTTAAGAAAAAAGAATAAGACTTTTAAAACTTGTGGTCTTAAAAGATTAAGGGGTAAAAGGTTTGTGAGGCCATACCATTTGTGTGGCTATAAAAGCTTCTCACTAAGGGCAAAAAGGGTAAAATGAAGAGTTTAAAGTTGAATTATTTCCAAATTTAGAAATATGTCGTTTATTTTGGAACAGACTAAAAAAGAAAGTATCTCAAACAATATGAAATGGAGGGAGTATCATTTTGGGTTAAAACATTCATTCGTTTCTCTTTTCTAGTTTCCAAACAAAGAGTTAAGCCTAGTTACCTCGATAAGTTTGTGGCTATACCATAAATTCTTTTGTTTACATAATGAAAAGAATATATTTTTTTTGTTGAAATGAAAAAAATATTTTTCTACATGAAAAGAAAGTTTTTTTTTTTTTTTGGTTCAAATGGAAAAAAAATACTTTTTTATATCACGAAAAAAATACTCCTTTGTTGAAATGAAAAAAAATCTATCTATAACATGAAAAGAATGTAATATTAATAATATTTTTATTTAGAGTGAGGTAGGTTGGTGGGGAAGGTTAGAATGAGTTTTGGAAAATGTTTTTTCTTCTCTTAACAGGAAAACATTTTCATCCCATGAGAGAAAAATGAGTTCAAGAGAAAAATATTTTCCAAAATATTTAGGTCAACCAAACATGCAAAAATTGGAAATTTCGTACCAAACACACCGTTAATCACACTCCAATTGCAGNGTTTCCAAACAAAGAGTTAAGCCTAGTTACCTCGATAAGTTTGTGGCTATACCATAAATTCTTTTGTTTACATAATGAAAAGAATATATTTTTTTTGTTGAAATGAAAAAAAAAATATTTTTCTACATGAAAAGAAAGTTTTTTTTTTTGGTTCAAATGGAAAAAAAATACTTTTTTATATCACGAAAAAAATACTCTTTTGTTGAAATGAAAAAAAAATCTATCTATAATATGAAAAGAATGTAATATTAATAATATTTTTATTTAGAGTGGGGTAGGTTGGTGGGGAAGGTTGAGAATGAGTTTTGGAAAATGTTTTCCCTTCTCTTAACACGGAAAACATTTTCATCACATGAGAGAAAAATGAGTTCAAGAGAAAAATATTTTCCAAAATATTTAGGCCAACCAAACATGCAAAAATTGGAAATTTCGTACCAAACACACCGTTAATCACACTCCAAGAAGAAAAGTAAGCGTGTGGCATTAATTGAATTGTGCTAACGGTAGAAATGTTCTTTTCCTCAGATTTCAAAGCTGGAGAAGATTGTCACAAGAATGAGTTTTATGGAACTAGCAAAAGCGACTTCACATTTCAGCCAAGACCATGAAATTGGGAAGGGAATGCTGGGGAAAGTGTACAAGGCACTGGTCCCAAATGGCTGGAATGTTGCCATAAAGAGGCTCAATGCCTCAGAAAATTTGGAGGAAGAGTTTGTTTCTGAGATTACAATTCTTGGCAGTCTGAGGCATCAAAATTTAGTCCCTTTAATTGGTTTTTGTGTAGAGAGGGATGAGCGACTTCTGGTTTACAAATACATGCCAAATGGAAACTTACATGAGTGGCTACATACGACTGATGACAAGGCAAAGCTCTTGGACTTTCCTTTAAGGGTTAAAATTGCTGTTGGTGTCGCGAAAGCCCTTGCTTGGCTTCATGATGGTGGAAATTTCCATGTTGTGCATAGTAACATAAGTACACAAAGTATTTTGCTAGACGAAAATTTTGATCCCAAGATATCCAATTTTTGGGAGGCAACACTTGAAAGACAAAATGACATGGATTCAAGCATGTGTCTATTGCCACTAGTTGATTCTTTAGACTTTACATCTTACAAGAAAGATGTCTATAGATTTGGGGTTGTGCTTCTTGAGCTTTTAACAAGGAAGGAATCTTATCAATTGAGCTGCTCAAGTTTAAATCTTAGTAGTAGCTCGTTTGCCAGTACTCTTGATGTGGATAAAGTGCTGTTAGGTCAAGGTTTTGATGCAATGATATTGCAACTACTTGAACTTGCAAGTAACTGTATGAAGTTCATTCCTAATCAAAGGCCAACCATGCTTCAAGTGTATCTCACTGTAGCTGCAATTTCTTGAATTCATGATCAAACAGGGGACCCTGAAATACAGTTGCAAGTGGAATAGAAGCAGCCATGTGTATTCCCCCTCTGCTTTCTATGTTTATTTCATTAGCAAGAAGTGCGTCTATTTTCCTTTCTTTTGTTTAATACTAGTTTACTTGTCCGCACTTTGCGCGGTTATCAAAGACATCAATAGTTTAGAAATAATTTTCAGTCGCAAAAGAAAAATTATACTCCCTTCGTTCCAGTTTATGTGAACCTATTTTCTTTTTGGTCCGTTCCAAAAAGAATGACCCATTTCTAAATTTGGAAACAATTTGGCTTAAACTTATAAGTTTACCCTTAATGAGAAACTTTTATAAACACAAAAATACTCTGCTCCCTTTTTAACTTGTTTAGACCATAAATTCCAAAAGTCTTCATTTTTCTTAAACTTTATTCGCAGTAAAACAGATTTACATAAATTGGAACAGAATGAGTAATAATATTTATCATGTGTGTGTATATAAAAGTACTGCTTCCGTTTCAATTTAGATGACACATTTTCCTTATTAGTTTGTTTAAAAAAGAATGACATATTTTTATAATAAGAAATAATTCTGCTTTAAAAACTTTTCATTTTACCAATTTTATCCTTAGTGAGAAGTTTTATAAACACACAAATATCATGACCCCACAAAACTTTTACCCTCAAACTTTTAAGACCACAAGATTCAAAAGTCTTTTTTTTCTTAAACTTTGTGTCGAGTCAAAGTAACTCATCTAAATTGAAACAGAGCGAGTAATTTATATATGGTTGAAATCACAAACACGATTTTTTGCTTAGAATAAGAGCTTAGATGAACCTCATATTATCAATTTTTCTTTAAATAAAGAATAAGGAAACTTTTTACACACATATACACACATGACACGTGTTGTATGTATGCCTGATTCTCTTTGTCATCAGAGGCGGATCTAGTATTTGAAGGTGACGGGTGCCACCATAATTTTCTTTAATGTAAACTATGTAATAATTAATATATAGCTTGTTCAGAATGCTTGTTCGGTTCATTTTTGTTAGTTTATTCGGGCAATTTAATAGAAACTTTTTATTTGCAAATATGAAAATTATATTTCTTTCTCCTATGCTACTTATGACATTTCACAGGATATTTTGTTGTTATGTGAAAATTAAATCAGACATCAAGGAAAAGATTAAATGATTTGAGAATAAGAGAAATGCTTATTTTATGAAATTTTAAATTTTGGAGGCTCTTTTTTGAGTGTTCTTGTTAAAAATCACAGATAAAATAATAGAATACAGAGAAAAAATATAAAAAAGATAATGAACGAAAAATAGGAAATTAGGAGGTAGCCAACAAGAAAAATGATTGGGACAAAGGAAATAAAAAGCACACGAAAAGGGAAAGTCAGATAAGGTCAAGATAAATTCAAATTTGAATTTTACATCCGAGAAAAGCTTTCCAAAAGGTCTACCAACCATGGCACATTTGTTTAGTCTGCAACTGGGGGTGGCGGGATCAAATATTTAACCTAGTTTAAGAAAATTTCTACATAAATATATAATAATTTTACCAACACAACGGGTGCTATACCACCCCACCTTAAAGGGTGGATCCGCCACTGTTTGTCATATTATATATTAGATGGTACATGTTTATATCTACTTGAACTTGAACTTTTATGTATTACTTTAGTAAAGCTTTTTAAATAAAGAATTTCTTCTCGTCAATTAAATCAAAACATGAAATGAAAAGAAAAGATCAGAAAGTAATTAAAATGGGATGAAACTACAAACAGAAAGAGGCAATCAAAAAAACAAATAAATGGCAACGCAAGTTGCTCACTCTGTCCAATACCGTTTCTTATTATTATTATTATTATTATTATTATTATTATTATTATTATTATTATTATTATTATTATTATTTTCTACCAAAAAGTATTATTTTTTCTTTTAGAATCTTTTTCATTATTCTTTCTTATTATTATTTGTTTTTCTACCAAGTAGTATTATTTTTTTTCTACCAAGTAGTATTATTTCTTTTTCAATTGTTCTTCCTCTCAGTTCTTCGTGCCTTAATATAAAACTCCAAATCACATTACTTTCACTCTCCATAAATTGTAACATCGTCTCTATCTTCGTGTGCCAATTCTGACGCTTCCCTCTTCATATTTCAGAAAGATTTTGATTTCTTGCTGCTTCTTATATTGTTACATGTAATATTCATGTACAATTTTATATTTGTCTTGTAAATTCCGTTTCTTTACATTTTCCCCTATTGCAAGCACAAACAAAAAATACGATCGTGTCAAGTTATTATGTTGAAAAGTTTTTATTTCTGAGATCATTAAGCTATTTGGATAAATTAGCTTAGCACAGATCATAAGAAACTCCAGACAGTTCTAAACTCGTGTTAGTTCCTTAGAATGCTTCTTTTAGCCAACACCTAAAATTATTAGGTAACTTCTGAGACCCACAAAATAAAAAACAACAGAAAAATATTCGTTTTATGGTTCTTTACAAACTTGTTTTTAGTTCAATGACCCTACCTCTTTTTTTAATACATGGGGAATTTACTTTTACATNTTTTTTTAATACATAGGGAATTTACTTTTACACGGAAGAGATGTTTTTTATACATAAGAGATGTCATTTTCTTGAATTATAAATTATAAAGGGACATGCTGTATAAATAGTACAAATGCCAAATACATTGATAGCCCATTAAAGTTGTCCGCCCTTTTCACTTAGGCATTCTATCTTAAGTCAATTCCATTTGAACACTCCAAGCACAGCTCAAATGTGTCATTTACTCATTTGAACACAAAATGCTGACATGGCAAGGTAACTGTTTCTCACATTTTCCAAGCGCGTGAAATCATTCCAAAAAACAAACTCCACATACTTCTTGTCGGAAAATGTATAACTTCTGCCGGAAAATTTTTCAACCATCTTCTTATCCCAATTTTTTAAAGATTTGTTCACACCAAAATAATTGTATCCTTCTTTAGATCTGGGCAAACCATCACCACCTTTAAATCTCGCCACCATCAAAAAGTTTCCATTTTCCTCTCATTTTGAAGATCTGGTTGGCCGCTGCAATTCTGGCCATAAAAGTAGCAACATCTCTACATGCCTACTTCATCTTCTCCATTATCTTTCACCATGGGATGACACGAACAATAAATGTGACAAGAGCTCTCTCATTTTCACTCGTCCGGCGAAATTTTATTCTTTTCGACGAAGTTTCATTTTTTTCTCAATAGTTAAATGTGACTTGAATCGGATCTGGCTAGATTCGAGCGGATCTGACCGGAAATAACAAGTTTTTGGCGACCCTTTTGCATTGGTGTCTTCTTCTCCTCGTTTTTTCTTTTTCTTTTTGTCTACACGTTATAGATCTAAAAACATATGGTGAAAGTCCACCATCTTTTAATTCGGTCGGAATTTTATTTCCAGCAACTTTGTGATTTGGTAGGATTTTCGTTTTTCTCACAACCTCCATGCTTGTGTTCGTTGATTTTTGTGATTGAGTCCCATCTTTGGTACATTTAGAATGGGTTTGATTTCACTATCCTCAACTATTGCATTGTTTGCCAATGATTTTATTAGTCGTTTGCTGCTGCATTTTGAAGGGAAAAAAAATAGCCAGGGGTCATTGGGGAAGATGACAGACAGGTGGGGTTAAGGTAAAATACACGTGTCTTTGTCTTATTCGTATATCTGGTGTGTGAATTACACGCTCCTTTTGTTTTTGGTTGCCTAATAATGTTGTGTTCAAATGACACATTTGAGCTGTCTTTGGAGTGTCCAAATGAAACAGACTTAAAATAAAGTGTTTAAGTGAAAGAGTGAACAAGTTTAAGGGGATGTGGATGTATTTGGCCTAGCAAAATATTCTCATAGTGTAAGTAATCATACTTTAATTAACACTGTGGTTGATGGTCTTGATATATCGTAAAAGTCTGAAACTTTTTTATTGGAGCATGAGTGCTGCTTGAAATTAATCTTTGCATAAGCCAGCCAATTATACGCCTCACTATTCTTAACTCGATGCAGTAATCAACCACAAACAGTTCCGCAAAATAAAATTAACTGAAACAAATTATTATATTGAGCATATCAGACCAAAAAAATATTAAAAAAAAGGTAAAAAGAAAAAAATTCAGAGATAGTCCTTGACGTTCATTTGTGATCAAAATCTTCTCTTCCCAAGTGAGTATCCATTGGTAATTATTACGACCTCGAAAACACGTTAGGATAAAGGGTGTGTTTGGTATAACGAAAAATGTTTTCCGTGAAAAACGTTTTCAAGAAAATATTTTCTTGGAAAATAAGTAGTAATTTTATTCATTTTCCGGTATTTGGTACGCAAATTAAGGAAAATGACTTCTCAAGAGTATTCATAAATAATTTAGATATAATAAACATGAATCCATAAATTTTCAAACCAACAACCTTCCGAACCCACAAATTTCATAAACTTTCGAACCATAAATCGCTGAATTTCGAACCCCTGCAAACTTTATAATTTCTAAACTCGTAAACTTCCAAACACATAAACCTCTGAGCTCATAATTTTGAAACTTGTAAAATTTTGAACCTTTAAACCGATAAATAAAAAAATTAAAACTGAAAAATATATTT